TTGACAGTTGCCTTTTGTATCTATGCTTCTTTTTCTATGTCTGCTTCTGTCTCCTTGAACCCCAGTCGGCCTCAGCAGATGGGAACTCACACAGAGCCTGGTTCTGCTTGAGGTTTCTTCATGTTCAAAGGTAGTTTTTCCTCTCCACTGTCACTACAAGCATGCTTGGTGTGAGGGATGCCTATTGCCTGATGGTAAATCCTCCCCTGGGGGAAGAACAGGGTAAAACTGAATGTATCTATGACCTTTGGCTCTAAACATGCCATTAAAGAGACGTACCAAGGCCAAACCTGACTTTAAACCACCAATCTGTAGATCAGGTGACTGAGACTAAACGATTGGGTTACTTTAGATCAAACAATGTCCTGGTCTTTACATATTAATAATATTGTGAGTGAAATTAGCAGGAACATCTCATAAATTAGAGGCAATGTTATGTCAATATACAGCCCTTATGCAACACATATGACTCATTATTCACATAAATACTGTAAAGCAAAGGGACCAAGACAGCTGCCTTGCTGAACTCCGCACACATTTATGTGCTCCAAGAAGTTCTAATTTTGTCTCATCAGCTGATAGAAGATTCCCTCAAAGGTGAAAGAACAAAAAACAAACTTCTGTGAAGCTGCTGCTGGTTTGACTCCTTATCCAAAGAGAAATTAGTCTAGAACCAGCGTGAGCTAAAAGGCGTCAGAGGAAGATGTCCCTGAACGCACCACCGTTAGGCCACCCATCGCTCACCTCAGGGCTTCTATTGTTTGGTAGAGCCATTCTAGTTAGGGTTAGTAGATTCTTCTCAAAAGTAGATTAATAATCAAACATAATCTGTTCAGATTAAGATACAATAGCAGCCATTCAAAAATGCCCTTCCCAGTTAAACACCATCGAATAGCAGCAACTCCCTCCAACTTCCAGCCACTGCAGTGACCCTCTCTTGCCTGTTTCTTTACTCTGACTCCATCCTTTCACTGAATTACAGGGTCTGACCAGGAGATGGCGCTTCTCTTTAGATCTTAATGTCCACAAATCATGACAGAAAGAATATTTTAGTACCAAGATTGATGTTTAAAAAGGAATTATAAGGGACCAGCCCGGAAAAGTGGGGACATTTTGAATAGCTGCCACTGAATCAATCTCAGAACAAGTTCAAGGATCTTTTGGGATCTAAGATATGAACTTGTAGTTAGAGGACAGTTTTTGTACCACAGGGATAGAAAAGACAAACAATAAGGCAAATGAAAAATTTCTAAGAAAAAAGAAAAAAAAACTTTTCAGCAACAGAATCACAGATTATAGTTCAACAAATAATGCTAATAATAGGATCTGGCAGCAATGGTTCCTAAAAGAAGCACTTTTATCCCTAAAATAAGGAGGAAAGTCTGATAATCTGTCAGAGGAATAAAGATTTTTAGAATCATTCAATTAAAACTTTAAATCCAATCATTGAATCATTTCTTATTTTAAAGGTATATGTTCTCATTCTATCTACATCTGACCTACCTGCTCAGATTACAGGAAAATACACTATTTCCAAGAAAAATGGACGTGCTTTATCATAAACGGAAATAGATTTAAATGATGGAATGTCCTTTTTGCAGTGCAGAGCAACAGTCCTGTTGTGTCTGCATGGTGGCCTGTTCCTGATCCTGTTCCTGATTCTGTTCCTGATCCTCTTCCCAATTCTGTTACTGATTCTACTCCTGATCCTGTTCTTGATCCTGATTCTACTACTGATCCTGTTCCTGATTCTGTTCCTGTTTTGGATTCTGTTCCTGATTCTGTTTCTGATCCTGTTCCTGATTCTGTTCCTGATCCTGATTCTGTTCCTGATTCTATTCCTGATCCTGTTCCTGATTCTGTTTCCGATCCTGTTCCTGATTCTGTTCCTGATCCTGATTCTATTCCTGATCCTGATTCTGTTCCTGATCCTGATTCTATTCCTGATCCTGTTCCTGATTCTATTCCTGATCCTGATTCTATTCCTGATCCTGATTCTGTTCCTGATTGTATGCCTAATCCTGTTCCTGATTCTGTTCCTGATCCTGTCACTGTTGCTGTTTCTGTTCCTGA